ATCTGCTTGAAATAACAGTTTACAATACATTTAGCAATGCTTTTTAATACCACATCCTACAACAAACTTACAAGCTGGATCACAAATCTAATTCATAAATATATGAAAAAATTAATAGCTATAAATATAGAAATAGACACAGAGATACATGGATAGAGTTATTTATATTTATAAAACTGGCAGTATAATGGTTCTTCTTATGACCCTGCAGGATTAAGAAAACAAGAAACAACAGCCTGATATGCCAGTGAATCCAAAGAGAGCACTATATAATACGGTTTAATACCTACTGAAGACTCAAAAAATTCCAAGTCCTTAAACATAGGGTCAAGTTTTGTGTGGGTGGTATGTTCTGGGATATGGGGATCAAGGGCTAACTGCTAGAAGTCTTCTAGCACAAGAAAGTGAATACACTGCAATATAATTTTATCATTGGTATTTCTAGGGAAATAACTTTTTCTAGAACTTGTAGGGGGCGTTCCTTCAGGCATTCATCAGAACATACTACCCTAACACAACAAAAAGAAAACAAAAATGAGAGCGTTTTTTTTTTGTAAAGTTAAAGGTTTTATCTTTACTGTCAAAAAGTGAAAAATTATATATGTCTTCGTTACAAGAAAATGCTTCTGTTTTAATTTTTAAAATGTTGTAGTAATTAAAAAAATATTTACTTACCTCGAACCATATAATACACACAACTAAGGAGATAATGACTGTGAACAGAGCTGGCATTTATGCAGAGAAAGCAACTGTCTCTGTGGTGTGGACTTTCCCAAAATATCTCCCACATGGGCCTATCCCTGATGCCTGAAATTCCTCTGCAGTTGGTGCTAGTTAGAAATGCAAATAAACCTATAGCACTCATCATAATTAAGAACATTTTATTATGTACTAGCTTTTTAGGTCCTATGAATTCTTTACAATATGACACATAGCTGGAACATATTTGAATATGACACACAGAGTATGTGGAAAAGAGAAGTCAGGGAAAAGTAGAGGCAGGAATACGGATGAATGCAAAGGTCTGGTTCAGGAAGGAGGATAAAAGAACAGGGACTAAGAGTTGACTGAAAGAAGAAAGTGCTGCAAAAAACAGGGGCAGGGATGCTTAACAAAGTTTGTGGTAGGAAATGCTACTCTGCATTACAAGTGATTTTATGATCAGCCATAGGGTTTCACAGAACTTTGAAAACAATGCACTCTGTAAGTTGTATGCTAATAACTAAGATAACTAAAGGATTTATTAAAAGGTTTATTTGCAATTAGGAACTAAAAATTTCCCCAAAGTAACTTTTACTGTCAATTGTAATTAATCCATGATTATAGAAAATTTTAAAAAATACTACAAAGTATATAGAAAGATTAAAATCACCTGTAATCCCTGCACCCATTAATACCACCGTTAACACCTGGGGGCGGGGGCTAGGACAAACGTTTTATGTATGTGTGTGATAAAACATATATATAAAACAAAATTGAGATTATTATAGTTCTGTACCTTTTTATTTAAAATTACATTGTGATTTTTCCATTCCAGTGAATATTCTTCGTTTCAAGAACACCAGGTTGAAAACTAATGGTTCTTAATGTTATTGTAGTGAACTATTTTGATTTTAAACCTAAAGAAAATCATCTTTAAAAATTCCCTTTTCTTGAAAAGATGTATCAACCCTTGAATATAGTCAATATTGCTGCTTTGAATTCAAGAATTTTAAGATTTTCATGGTTTCTCTTATCTAAAGCGTTTAACTGAGAAAGTAAATAAGTGAAAAGGGTCAAAGTGTTAGGTCACTGTTTTAACCAGTATTGCAAAAGGTAGATACAAATCACCATATTCATATTGAGTAAACTACTATTTAGCTCTGAATGCTATAAACATCGAGTGGAGTTTAGGAATTCTGTACCCTCCTGGCCTAGGAGCCAAATTAGGCCTTTGGCTTAATTTCATTCAGCTGGCCTTTGGAAATTTTTCCTTAAAGATGTAGTGTCTGTTTCCTGTCTCATCCTTTAAAGATATGGAATACGTGTGTGTGCATGTATATATGTTATTGTGTGTGTACATATATGTATATATACGTAGTTATTTGATTACGGTCTCCAGTGGCGATCTCTAGATGCTCTTACTTCAATGGCATTATTTGGGAAAGGAGTGGTCATACTCAGTCTCTTTGAGGAGAGAGAGGAAATGGAGCAGTTGCAGCCAAGTGACTGTGGTGAGGAACAAATGACAGGCTAATAGGACTTATGGAAGTGTTCAATCTATCCAGTAACATACAGTGAACAGGCTGAACTGGAGATGCTATTTTTATGGATAAAGGGGCCTTTAAGGAAGCAAGATGAAACAAGAGAGACAATGTTCAGGGAAAAAAGAATGGATAGACAGTCTATGTTGGTTAGCCATAGGGGATGAAAGTCAAATCTGCTTTAAGTTTGTATTAGGAACTCTGTATTACTTAACTATTTAGTAGGAGCATAAGATGTAAAGTTGAAAAAGCAGGAGTTCGCTTTTATTGAGGACCTACTATGGTCTACGCAGTACATGTTAGTTCATTTCCATACAGACAATTTAAGTGCTGTTTACCCTGCTCATACAGATGAGGATACTGGGGAATCTTAGCAATTAAGAAACTAGCTCAAGGATACACAGCTAGCAAAATAGTGAAATCAAGGCTCAGTGCAAAGACCTGCCTGTTTCTGCAGAAGTGATATGCCTTTTCTACGATACCACTTTGACTTAAATTTCGGAATTTAGTCTAATACTTTTAACTATGTTATAATTTTACAAAGTAATCTATTTTTAGCTAGTGCAAGAGAAAAATACACTGCAGGTAAAGGAATCTACTATGAGGGTGAGGAGATATTTAGACGAGCCATATTACTGAAAATATTTAAACATAATTATAAAAATGTCTAAAACTTTAAAGCATTTCTAAGAACAATCTTAAGAGTGCCATTTTCTTATGAAAAAGGAAATTTTCATTATTTTCCTCTCAAAATGGATCCTGTATGAATTAATCACTAGACTAATGCATATGGACTTCATCAAGAATAACAAAACAGCCTATATAAAGTAATTTCAATATAAAGAAAGTACAAACTAAGTCAACTTCGAAGTTTCAGGGATATTTTACTTTCAAGCACTAAGATGTCCTTAGGAGATCAGAAATAGTACATACCACATTGTGCAGCATACCTTTCCATTAGCATATTTATGGAGAGTCAATTACAAGAGTTACATAATATTCCATTATAGTTATATTATTGAGAAATAGGGTTCTTCACTTTCTTTAGGTTTTATTATTCAGTTTATGAACATGGTCTATGAACAATGGAACTGTTCTTTTTAAAAACTGTTTAAGCAGGGAAAAGACTATCTTAGAATAATTCATCAGAAAAACACTGTCTAGTTAATAATGTTATACTACTGGTTTTCAAAAAAACCAATTGTTTTCGGACATTAGTGAATACTGTGGATACTGTTATGAAATAAATCATAGGTTTGAAGTTTGATTATGAAATGTAACCACATTTAACCACTGTTTCAATGACTGTTTCACATGATTTATGCTTTCTACTCTAAAGAAGAAAATATTAAATCATACAATTGAACCCAAGTCAAGGTGAAAAATAAAATCTGGATTTAGAAAATCTAAATCAGATCTAAAGGAGGCTGATTTGTATTATCGAAGGCTAATTGTCTTCACAATAATTTATACATTCAAGTATTTAAAACATCCTGGATCATTTAAATTAAGAATACTCTTTAAGTTAAACATAATCAAATTAACTCCCTTATAAAAATCCACCCCCAACATTTACTCATGTACCGAACACCTGCAATACAGGTCAAATGTTCCTAAAACGGGTACATCTTGCACATCAATAGATACTTCTAGGAACTGGGGCATAACTTAACGACCTAAACCAAAAAGTTCACAAGGCAATCTGTCATACGATACGTAGGCTGCAAATTCAGTTTAAATCTTCATTCCTAAGGTCTCAACGAAAAAAAATTGGGGAGTATGGAGAGGACAGTCATTCGTCAAAAAAAGAGCTTGTCGCTTCCAAAACCAACCTCTATGTCATTTCTGGGTCAAATCCTGATAGGGAGTATCCGTGACAAACCAATTTTTTTTTCAATATTTGATCAGAGACTTTGGAGGTGGAAGAAATCTCAGGACAATCACTTAGTCTTGTTCTCTGCCTTCAGGCAGCTGAGACATTGTAACACCCAGGAACATACACCCTTTAGGGAAAAGTGTGTGTGTATGTTTAAAGGCATACAGTAGCCGCAGAGAGATAATCATTACCACTTGGATATGTTAAAAAAAATTCTACCAGGGCGAAAAGAATGACACCATTTTCCCCGTCACTGGTAGGTAGGCCTGGGGGATCCCAGCCACCTGCACTGACGCTAAATTATGTAAAGCAGCCAAGAGACTCCGCGAGAGGCGTCCCAGCCGGTTCTATGGAAACGAGAGACGCGGGTGGCCTAGCGCGTTCCTGGCAGGGGATCGACCTGCGGAGCTGCGCAAACAGGGGGCGGGGGAAGCCGCTCAAACCTGCACTGCAGAGACGCTCGGCGGCTGTCCCAGCCGCGGCAAGGGCGGGGAGGGGCGGGGTCTGCGGCCGCAGCCCACCAACGCCGGCGCAGAGCTCAGCGAGTCCGGGCCAGTGGGAACGAATGGTGGCTGCGGAAGGCAGGAGAAGCGGACACCGCCGGGGCTCAACCCCAGCCCCTTCCCAATCTCAAAGCCAGGAGCCGCAGAAACTTTGGAGGCATGGAGGAAACAACCCCAGAGAGTCAGGGTATACTGTCTTCCCAGCTGAGGCCCTTTACCTTCCCTGCCGGAGAGTCTGGGATGCTTCCCTCGGGTGGCGGTGGTGGCTGGGGAGACGACTGCCGCTGCAGCACTCGTTGCCTCACTAATCCGGGCTCTGGGAAATAATTTCCCGCCGCGCGCTAGGCGGCCCCGGAAGCTATTGTATAATTTCCGGGTGGTTGTCAGTGACGCTCTCGAGCTGTCGTCAGGGTGGTCTGAGCGGGTGCCTGGCTGGATTCTGGCGGGCGGGCCAGGCTTCTGCTAGATCTGCGCCAGACTTGGGAGACTGGTAAGTGATTTTTCTGTGTTGCCTCCTGGGCCTGATATTTCCGGCCGGTCGGGGAGCCGTGTAGCATCTTGGCAGGACCAAGAAGTGAGCGGGAGAGGGTTGAACCGGGAGGAGTCCTCCTCCAACCCCATGGCGCTTGACCCTCTGCAGCTGGAAAAGGCCCTGGGATTCCGGCTTACCTCCTTCTTCACTAGCAATATCCGTCTCCAACTTGGAACTCGACGTCCGATCCCCAAGTGAGGCCGAAGACAATATATACTGCGACTTGTAGTACTGAGTCTTTTTTCCAATATTCAGGGAGTGTCATTACTCTCCCATTGGCAGGGTTTAGTCACCCTTGATTCCCAAGAGCTACTTTACCGTCTTTGTCCTGAGTACTGTTTCCATTGACCTGGGTCGCACCTTTTACAAACATTTTAGACGTGGAATGAGGGAGTCGTTCATGTTTAGAATTAAACGTTCCCGCCGCTGTTGGAATTGGGTAAGAAGGGGCTTTGTTTTCCTGACTACCATGAGCTAATGGGCTTTACGTACACGTTTTAGCTTTTTTTTCCGGAAACCTGTGATCAAGAAGTAGATGCAGAACGAGCGCTCGCGCTCTGCTCCAGGTTTCCTAGATAATGAAGGATTCAGGAGAATTTGGGAGGGACGTCTGAGGTAACCACAATAGTTTTAAAGAGAAAATTGCTTCGGACGGGGGAATAATGTGAGAAAATGTGTTCTTTGAAACGAAGATTTGAACGATGTAGGGAACCGTGGCTACTTCTCTCTTGCGTAATGCAGTTTCTTCAGGTAAGTAGTTTTCCCACTCCACCTTATATTTAAATCATCCCTTTCTCCCTAAAAGGGAGCTAATTTTGATCCCCCAAACAGCCAGTTCCAAAAGAGTTCTCAAAACTACTGTACCATGAAGAAAAATGGAGTGTGTTCGTTTAGAGTCCTGATGCATTAGCCAAATTCCTTGTAACCTTTTGAGTAATGCAACCATAATGAGGACAGCACACTGATATTCTAATCTTGTTGGATAATAGTTCAACCAATTTTTATAATCTTCTCATTTGGTCCCAATTTTGCCACGTTTATTTAATCTTGTGTTATTTCTCCAGTTGAAAGGATTGTAAATAATTTATGGGAGGCAGGGATTTTTTTTTTTTTTGTATTCTTTTTCTTGATTTGTGTTCTTTCAGATTAATACAACCAACCACTAATACTACAAATAGCTACAGTTTGCCACGCACTTTACATTCCTTAAAGTTACCACTGTGCTATAAGAAAAATCATATTACCCCTATTTTGCAAACATTTTATACTGAGACTCAAAGACATTGTGACTGAGACTGAAAGACATTCTCACAAATTATATAACTAACTGACACAATTGAGATTTGAACATAGTCGACTGGACTCCAAACTTTGGCTCTTTTTACTGGTCTTTATACATAAATATCCCTAACATGAATCAGTCTTTTAACTCAGGTAAAATTGGATAGGTAATATGTCACATTCAAAAGTCAATGGATAGCAAAACTTGAGCATATAGAGATTTTAGGGATGTGTTAATGGGTTAAGGAATTCCTTAAGGTAATAAGGATTAAGGAATATGTTATTTAAGATATTACCATAGAGTAACTTTGACATATGCATAATCCAGTTTCTTTTGTTGGCCAGTGTGATCATCATCACTCAAAGAAATATAATCTCAAGACCATCAGTGTATATAGGTGACTCTAAGTCCAGAATATCAGACATCTCTTTAGTCAACTTTGCACTCACACGAGTGCGCACACACACGCAGACGTGTATATGATCTGTATGGAGAAAAAGAAAAAATGAGTGAATGAGCACAAACTTCATAAAATCGAACTTTGTAATGCCTGTAAGGAATTGTTATTTACTGGTTATGAGGAAAACTTCTATTTCATTCATGTAACCCTCAGACAGATGGTGCTTATCACACATTTTAAGGGAGTATCCTTAATTAAACATACCCATTTCAGTATTTCATGTAGAGAAATAGAAATAGCCTAATTGTCGGGAATTTACTAAAATCTCATTAAAATGACCAGTATTATAAATAACGTAGAACTTAATTATAAAGAATATCTTGTATAGACACAAGTATATATGTACAGCTAGTCTCAAATACTTAAATGCATTTTTTTTACATTTATCAACTTCACTATCTGAAAGATATTTGCTTTACATATCCCATAGGTAGATTTCAGTGATGTTTTGTTTCCAAATTTCAGTGCTTATGAAGATTGAGATTGTATCTGTTTTGTCCATTATCTCATATCCAGCATTTAGCTCTGTGTCTGGCATATGGTAGTGGCTCAATAAACATTTATTGAAAGAATGATTACTTTTTAAAATGTTATTTATTTATAGAGAAGTATTTGTACATGTTTTTTTGTTTATTTTTTAATTTTTTATTGTTATGTTAATCACCATACATTACATCATTAGTTTTTAATATAGTATTCCATGATTCATTGTTTCTGCATAATACCCAACGCTCCATGCAGAACGTGCCCTCTTTAATACCCATCACTAGGCTAACCCATCCCCCCCCCCAAAACCCTCAGTTTGTTTTTCAGAGTCCATCATCTCTCATGGTTCGTCTCCCCCTCCGATTT